ACCCTGCGCGCATGCACACTGGCTCTGTATCACTGCTGCCAGACTCCACAACCTCCAAAGGCAGCACCCCACTCTCCGATAGTCCTGGCCCCATCCCTGCATCACAAGCAGGCCCCTCATCTGAGTCCTCGCTCACCGAGACCTCAACCATCTGCACCTGCTGCCGGTGAATCACAACAGGGTCCTTCCAAGTCTGTTATTCTGTTAAATAGAAGTCAGAAGAGGTAGCTCTTTACCTTACCTAGGCTTTGGGCAAGAGAGACCAAGCTGGGAAAGGCAGGGTAGGTCCTCATCTAACAACTAGTGGGATTTGGTTAATGACAATAAATTTGGTTAATGTCAAACAATACAAGAGCATACAATAGATACAAACTCAAGGTAAACCGCACCAAACTTGATTGCAAGAAATACGACTTCAGCAACAGAGTGGTCAATGTCTGAAATGCTCTACCTGACTCTGTGGTTTCTTCCCCAAACCCCAAAAACTTTAACCTTAGACTGTCTACTATTGACCTCACCCCTTTCCTAAGAGGTCTGTAAGGGGCGTACATAAGCGCATCAACGTGTCTACCATCCCTGTCCTATTGTTTCTTTTTTTTATTTTTCTTATATGTATCCATTCCATTTGTTCATAACTATGTTTATACTTATACCTGTTATCTTGTAAGCGATTGACAAATCAAATCAAATAAATAAATAAACAATAACAGGAAGGGCTGAAATTAACCAATGTGTCACACCATCACTGGAGGCTTTTAAAAAGAGACTGGACAGTCACTTGTCTGGAATGGTACGGAAGGGTCAGACTAGAAGACCTCCAAGATCCCTTCCAACTCTTTTATCTGTGATTTCTCTCATCTATATTGACCTGAACTTAGCGGAGAGGACTCTTCTCAGTGATAAAATTCAATGCCAGGAGGTGCCGCTGTTGCTACTGACTTCCCAGGGAAGCTGGGCCCCATTCAAAGTGGATGCGTTTATTGCAACATCAGGAAAGATTTAAGACTCTGAAAAAAAAGTGGGATATCCTTCCAAAAAATAACAAGAACATTTCCCCTGTTTTGGATGATTGGGTAAATGCTACAAGTGGTAATCAAATAAGGGGATTATGTTGCCACTAGTTAAAAGCATTCATTTCTCAGGCATTTTTGTTTCTGCTTCAGAAAATAAGAAAGAATCTCTTTTGAATATGATCTTCCTGTACAGGATCAGGGGTGGTTTTGTTAAGTGGCACATTTTTCCCTCCACATTTTTTATTGAACGCAATATAATTGATATTATATTGAATAGAACAAAATAAACATCGAACGTGCTTAATCAAGGGGTGAAAATTATATATTGACTTGAGAGTTGCTGGTTGATTAACTACAATGATATGAATCGCTTATTACATTCCATACCATCTGTATATTTGAGAGAGTGATGCATCATAAAGAAAAAATGTTAATCGGCAGGTAATTTGCAAGATTTGGGAAGTTAGTGAAAACCATCTAAAAGTTTTTAGTAAATGTGAAAATGGCCTCTTGATCAATATGCCTTAAATGCACTTTTTTGTTGTTGTTTTATAAAATTGTACTTGGCATTCCACAGCATGGGACCCAGATCTGCCAACTAGTATAAATATTAGAAAATAAGTATCAGACTTGGGGTTCTTTTCAAATTTAATTCAGTAAACGTTTTGCCTCAAAAGTTAATAATAAATACAGAACCTGAACCACGAGATAATGTGTAAAACCAAAGTTAGCCATTCACCTGCCAGTTTGATCCAGTGGTTAAGACACCAAGCTAGAAAGAACTGTGAGTTCAAGTCCTGCCTAAGCTATGAAAGCCAGTTGGGTGATTTTGAGTCAATTCCCCCCTCCTCTCAGCCCAGCCTACATCACAGGGTTGTTGTGATGGGAAATAGAGGAGGAGGAAGGTGTGTGGGATATCTTTGCCCAAGCCTTGATTTATATATTTATAAAAATAATACAGGTGGAATACATTTAAATACAATTCAGAATGCTACAGGTTCATTCCAAACATTGAATATATAGATTGTTCCAAGCTTGGAACAGAAGAACCAGCTGTTCCATTGGTTGATTGTTCTCACTGTCAGAAAGTTTCTCCTTATTTCCAGGTTGAGTCTCTCCTTGTTCAGTTTCCATCCATTATTCCTTGTCTGGCCTTTGAGTGCTTTGGAGAATAGCTTGACCCCCTCCTCCTCTCTGTGGCAGCCCCTCAAATATTGGAACACTGGTATCATGTCTCCCCTACACCTCCTTTGCACTAGACTAGACAAACCCAACTCCTGCAACTCCTGTTCTTCATATGCTTTAGCCTTCAACCCACCAACATATTCTCATTCTATACTGACCCAACCTGGCTACAAAAGAACAAACATAAGACAAAGGCAGCAGCCCCCACCTTTTAAGGTTTAATCCACAAATTCTGTTTCTTCACAGATAAATGGCTGCTTTCAACTAATTAGCTCTGACAAGAAAGAGCCATGCCAGGTTGTTTGTCAAGGCTGCCAAAAACCCACAGATAAAGAAATAGTTTACAAGAGTTTTCAAATGCCAACTATAATGTCCATGAAACTGAGTTTCAGAGCGTCTTTGCTTTCTGCAAAGTATGCTTCTTCAAACTTGGCTTTTATCTTCTTGAGGAAGGGGCCATTACCTTGCAGCCTTACTCCTGAGTCACCCGTGCTGCTGTAACTGCTCTGTCCTATGAGCAATCCTGCGTGCATGCACACTGGGCACAGGCTCCTCGGGAACCTCCTCATCACTGCTGCCAGCCCCCACAATTTCTGAAGGCAACAGTCCACTCCCTAATGGTCCTGGTCCCTCACCTGAGTCCTCACTCTCCTCCACCATCCACACCTGCTGCCAGCTAACCACAACAGATTCTGAGGAAAATTTTAGGAATCCAGGCTACTCTGCCTAGTTTTAATTACATTAGCTGAGTTTTCTGGGGATCTGTTTGCCAAAAGAGTTCTGATATCTGCCACAATTAAGCCAATGCAATTTGCATCTCAATTTTTTTGTGTGTGATTGAAAAAGCCTGCAAAATGGGCCACATAAATAAAGTTCATGATTTAAAAAAAAAAACTTAATAGTTTTAATGTAAGGCTACAGATGAACTTCCTTGTGCTTCTAATTAAGAGCCAGAACAACATTTCTTTTCCATAGCTTATAATATTTATACTCCCCTAAATACCGCTGTTCTCTGGATGGCTTACAGGAATAATTTAAAACTGTAAAACAGAACTGTGAAGTCTAAAATAAAATAAAGCCACCAGAGTTAAGGGAACGAGCGGCGATGTTAGTGCAGCAAACATTTTAATAAGCATTAACAGATTTTAAGATTGCCTGGGAAAATATTTTGTGCTCCAAAGATTGGAGGTGTCACGCTTGCCTCTGGAGAGGTTTGCCCTCCAACTGTGCAATGAGAAAGAAAGGAAGTAGTTAGGATAGTTTAGGATAGGATAGAAAGGAAGTAGTTAGTTAAGTCGGGGATATCTGGGCAGTCCTCGACTTACAACCGCATGTTTAGCGACCATTTCAAATTACACTGCCACTGAGAAAAGTAAGTTATGACTATTTTTTACACACTTGAGACTATTGTAGCATCCCCGTGGTCATGTGATCAAAATTTGGTTGCTTGGCAACTAGCATTTATTTATGTCAGTTGTAATGTCCTGGGGTTACCCATGTTTTGCCCCCCCAAAATAAGACCAGGTGTTATACTAATTTTTGTTCCAAAAGACACATTAGGTTTTGTTTTTGGGGAAACATGGTACTAAATGCATCTGCCTGGCTGACAATCTTAATGGGGGCTTATTTTGTGGGTTAGGGCTTATATTACAAGCATCCTGAAAAATTGCTAGGGCTTATTTTCTGGTTGGGTCTTATTTTCAGGGAAACACAGAATGTGATTGTCATTTGTAATTTTCAGAGCTGGCTTCCAAAAACAGAGTCAATGGGGGAAGTCAGGTTATAACAGTTTGCTTAGTAACCTTTCAAAGTTACAACGGCACTGAACAAAGTGGACATGGTCATTTTTCACAGTTATAGGATCCCGATGGTAATGTGATCAGAATTCAGACCCTTGTTGTGGTTCACCGGGAGCTGGTGCAGACGGCAGCAGAATCGGACAGTGGGGAAAAAAGGGGATCAGTCTGAGAGTCTGGGGAGGACTCGGACCAGGGTCCTTTGTCCGATGTGGAGATGGAGCCAGGACCATCTGGGAGTGGGGTGCTGCCTCCAGAGCCTTCGGAGTCTGGCAGAAACAAGGCAGAGGATCCAGGGGAGCCTGTTCCCAGTGCGCAGAGCTGCTAGAAGGCGAGAGCAGCTGAAATCAAAGGGGTGACTCAGGAGCAAGGCTAGGAGGTGATTGCCCCTCCCATAAGGTATAAAGGACAGGCAAAGATGACGAAATCTTTGCAGGAAGCAAAGTAGTTCGATCGGTTCCGAGTTATCCTTGAAGCTCTTTGTACTTTGGTTGGTTTTCTTTCTAGTTCATTTGACACTTCTGTTATTGGCAGCACTTCACAGGGAAGAAAGGTGGGTGCTTATCTCAAGGGACTGTTTGAGATTCATTACCGGCTGGGAATGAACATAATTCCCAGCGTTGCAATAAAACAAGTCTTGTTTTTAAAATAAGTGTGTGCTTAATTACGGTCTCGGAAGCCTTGGTCAGAATAACCCTTCGTAACTGACTCATATTTATGATGGCTGCAGTGTCCTGGGGTCATTTGCAACCTTCTGACAAGCAAAGTCAATGGGAAAATCAGATTCACTTAAACTAATTGGTTGCTAATTTAGCAATGGCAGTGATTCACTTAACAAACGTGGCAAGCAAAGTCATAAAACGGGGCAACCTTCAACCAATTTCTCACTTAGCCACATACATTTTGGGCTCAATGGTGGTCGTAGATTGAAGGCTACCTGGAATATATTATACGAGAAAAGTTATACCTGCTTGATTTTTGTTGTTGTTTCTTTCATGTTCTGCAGGGATATAAATACGTCAACAGAGAGGGGGCATGCTGTGGAAAATGTCTCAGAACCATGTGTGAAGATACAACCCTTTGGTCTCGAGGAGATGAAGACGAAGGTGTCACTTGGCATAACGTAAGGCATCGTGGTGAGGGAAAATGGGCATTTCTGCTTTCCTTGTGCAGAGAAGGAAGGAAGTTGGAAAGAAGTACTTAAGGCATGAATCGTAAGAGCTGCACAGAGCTTCAAGGACCGTTTTGTTTCAACAACATTTCGGTTGAAGCACCTCTTGAAGTGGCTCTTTGAAGTGGTGTCACCTCCATGGTTAAACATTGGCTGAACTGAGCTCTGGATTTCAGGAGTAACTTGGTCATAGATTCAGCTGAAATATTATGACATCATGTCTACATTCAGTTGTGAAGTATTTTGTCATTCCCTTTCTGATCCTCTCCCATGGACTGGAAGAAGAGAGCACCCAATATCAGGGGATCATAGAATCATAGGGCTGTAGGAGACCTTGGGGGTCTTCTAGTCCACCCCAAAACCCAAGGCAGGAGTCTTATACTATCATGGACAAATTGTTGTCCAATCTTCCCTTGAAAACCTCCAGCGATGGAGCGCCAGGAGACAAGTTGTTCCGTGGATTAATTATCCTGACTGTTAGGAAATTACTCCTTAGTTCTAGGTTGGATCTCCCTTTGATGAGTTTCTGCTTATAACTTCTCGTCCTTCTCACAGGTGCTATGAGTATAAATGGAATCCTTCTTCCCTGTGACATCCCTTCAAGTCATTGGAAGACAATCTCTTTGTTAGGCTAAACCAGGGGTCTGCAACCTTAAACACTCAAAGAGCCATTTGGACCCATTTCCCACAGAAAAGAAAACACCGGGAGTCACAAAACCTAGGTGGGTGTGGCCAACTCACAGTCACTCCCACCCAGTCACATGACACCACCACCCCACCATGCCTACCCAGATTTTGTGGCTCCCAGTGTTTTCTGTGGGAAATGGGTCTCTCTCCCTCCCTCCCTCCCTCCCTCCCTCTCATTTCTGGTTTTTGTGTTTTATATTCCAAGACAGGCGAGGAGTGATGGGGAGGGCGAGGGTGAGGGGTGGAGCCAGCCAGTGGTGGAATCACCCAATCGGGAGCCACAGCAGAGGGCCCAAAGAGCTGCATGTGGCTCCAGAGCTGCCGGTTGCTGACACCCAGGCTAAACATATCTAGTTCCCTCAGCCATACATCATATGGTTAGGCCTCCAGACCTCTTCTCATCTTTGTTGCTCTTCTCTACACTCTTTCTATGGTTTCAGCATCTTATTGGTATCACACTGACCAGAACTGGACATAGTATTCCAAATATGACCTCGCTAGTGCAGTATAGAGAGGTATTATCACTTCCCTAATACTTTGGCCACCTCATGAGAAGGGAGGACTCGCTGGAGAAGAGCCTAATGCTGGGAATGATTGAGGGCAAAAGAAGAAGAAGGGGACGGCAGAGAAAGAGGTGGCTGGATGGAGTCACTGAAGCAGTCAGTATGAGCTTAAATGGACTCCAGAAGATGGTGGAGGATAGGAAGGCCCAGAGGAACGTTGTCCATGGGGTCACGATCGGTCAGACACAACTTCGCAACTAACAACAATAATCACTTCCCTTGATCTTGATACTATTCCTCTGTTGGTACAGAGAACTATAACTGCATTGGCTGTTTTGGCAACTGTAGCACAGAGTTGCACATTGTCTCCCTAGAGTAAAATCAAGACTGTTTGGATTTATTTGCTGTGAAAAGAAACAGGGGAGAGATCACCTAAACGCAAGGCATTTTCTTACAATCCTAATGACTCTCTTCCTCCATCTTTACATTTTTTTTTTCTTTCCTGCTGTTGATTTAAGGATCTCAGAAGCTACCAAGAGCTCCAAGGGACTACTTGATAGAACTGTACAGGGCAGATTCTAATAAAGAATTTCCCCTCCCTTTTTATGACCCTGTAATCCCTAAATTCAGGGTAGAGTTGGGGCAACTGGATGAAGCTGAGCGTTTACTGGCTGGATGCCCTTCCTGACACCACTCGGAGTTCACAGCAAATAATATTTTTTTTTTGCACTCTCGGAGAGCTTTATAGCTCCGCTGCCTTAAGAAAGTCCAAAACATTCTCAAGGATCCATCTTATCCACCCTTTTTAAAAACTATTATCATCTGGCAGACAGTACAGGATAATAAAAACAAGGACAAATAGGCTGAAAAACAGCTTCTATCCCAGGGCAGTAGCTCTGTTGAATTCTACTGTATAGTGCAGTGTTGGGGGTTTTCAATTCAATGTGTGGAGTGTGAAGGATGTGTGTTTGTGTTTATTTTCATGGTCACAATGTACACTGAAGATGGTGTTTGATTTCGTTGTACAAGGTGCAGTGACAATAAAGTAAACTAAACTAGAAGAGAAACAACTGCTGCTACCTACAATTGAACTCTTAGCCTTCGGAGGCAAGTTGCTTCACCGCTAGGCCTCCACGCTGCTCTTAGCAGAGAATATCCATTTGGATATTATTTTTTGTGTGCTCCAGTATAACAGAAGAAAACAACTGCAATTACTTTCTAGTTTTTTTCCCAAACCTTTCAAGTGGAAGAGATTTACAAATAGGATAAGGGAAGCTGTTTAGTTTTTTTTTTAAAAAAATGTTTTTATTGAGTTTCTAATTGTCCACATAAAGCATCATAGTTTCAATCACATTCTTGACATCTATACAAGTTCTTATCATAAATATCTTAAGACATTGTATTTATATTTATCTAATATTTATTAATAACTTTAACTATAATCATTATTCCTATATTCTTACATAGTTTACAAATTTACATTTTACATTCTTAAGGCTTTTTACAGTTAAGTGTCTTGCCTTATTTTTCAGTTCTGTTTGCTAGCCAATCATACCATTTATTCCAGATTAGATAACAATCAGAGTCATCTCTCTTTCAACTTCGGCGTTAACATGTTCATTTCGGCACTTTCTGTTACTTATTGTAATATCAGTTCTTCTTTAGGAATATTGAGAGTTTTCCATACCTGTGCAAAGGCTATTCTGGCAGCTGTTGTGATATGTAACAATAAATATTTTATTTCTTTTGTTATTCTATCTTTAATAATTCCTAAAAGAAAGGTTTCCGGTCTGAGCTCAATCTGATAACCAGTAATCTTTTGAAGCGGTTTAGTTTTATTCACTCTGCTCTTCCTTGGGGGCTGAGGAAAACCATGCTCTGCTTCATGGAGGAACATGACCTCACCCCTTTCCTAAGAGGTCTGTAGGGGGCGTGCATAAGCGCACCATCGTGCCTACCGTCCCTGTCCTACTGTTTCTTTTATTTTTCTTATATGTACCCATTTCATGTATTCCTAACTATGTTTATACTTACACCTATTATCTTGTAAGCGATTGACAAATCAAATAAATAAATAAATCATGCACATCTTCCCTGAACAAGTTACAAAGAAAAGATGGTCTTTGTGCTGCCTAACCCCTTCTGTTGTCTTACCTTCCCAGGTTGGCTCTGAATGGATGTCTCCAACTGACCCCTGCGTCATCAAAAAATGTGTCCGTGTGAACGAGGAGGTCTTTATCCAGACCAGGAATGTCTCATGCCAACCTAGGGAGCCAAGCAGCTGCCCGTTTGCCACAGAGATGCGGTGTGACCATCGGTCCGGATGCTGTCCTTCCTGTCACTGTGGTAAGGACCGGTCCATTCAGAAGAAGACACGCCTTTCTTGCACCATCTTGAGAAGTTTGCAATCCAACTCACACATGAAACATTGTACCGAATCCCCTATAGAAGATGTTTCGATGTTGGTGAGACAAGTTGGGAGAAGGCATGGTTGATGTTCCTTGCCATAGGATACTGCTGTGGCAGGCAGTCCTTAAGCAAATCCAGCTTTTCCCCTTGTGTTTGCTTTTTGAAAGCCAGCTGGGAGGGTTGCAAGGGGCAATCTTTTGACCCCGGGATGCTGCTATGGTCTTAAATACCTCCAGGCTGCCAAGCATCCAAATTTTGACCATGTGACGAATGGGGATGCTGCAAAGTTCATAAATGCAAGAACTGGTTGTAACACTTTTTTCAGTGTTGAAATTTTACATGTGTATGTACAAAAAATGACAGTGTACACAGCAGACGAGATAACCATGCTGGGTTTAGTATCACAAATCACTAGTCGAACATTTCCCAAGCGTTTAAGACTGTGTGGTGTATGGACGGATTATGTGAGCAGATCCCAGTAAGGTGGCCTTCTGCAGCTGACCAATGGTGATCTTGTCGGCGCCAATTGTTTTTAAGTGCTTGCCGAGGTCTTTAGGCACAGCACCCAGTGTGCCGAGCACCACTGGAACCACCTGCCCTGGTGTAGACCAGAGTCTCTGCAGTTTGATTCTCAAGTCCTGATATCTGGTGACTTTTTCAAGTTGTTTCTCGTCGATTCTGCTGTCACCGGGTATGGCAATGTCGACCATCCACACTTTTTTCTTCTCCACAATCGTGATATCCAGGCTATTGTGTTCCAAAACTTTGTCAATCTGTATTTGGAAGTCCCACGGTAGTTTTGCAGGCTCATTTTTGACCACTTTCTCAGGCTTATGATCCCACCAGTTCATCATCATCACCACCATCATCATCATCATGATGAAGAAATGTAAAAAATGGAGTTGCTGTTGAGAGTTTCGCTGTCCTGTGGAAGAGTCAAATGCTAATAAATGCAACTTCTCTCTTGCAGAACCCGTGAATGGCTGCATCTTGAATGGTACTGTTCTCGCGGTAAGACTTTAGCTGATTTATTTATTCATCAAACTTGTATGCTGCCCATCTCACCAAGGGTGACTCTAGGTGCTTACAATCATTGAACCAAATGCAGTATAAAACATTAAAACAATAAAGATCTTAAATTTAAAATTCAGTTAAGATAAAACTAAGCCGGGGGGGGGGGGGGAAGGAGCAAAATGTGTGCAGGGAGGAAGTTGGTTGTTGTCTATTCCATTCGTCCCAAAGATGCTTTTTCAAAAGGCAACTGGACTTCCAAGGGCAAAAACCAAGGAAGTCCAGCCGCCTTCTGGAAAAACACCCTTGGGACATTCTCTTCCAAGGTAAAATGTTTGGATGTGATACTAAGCAAACAATGGATAAATGCAACATTTTCTTCTGATATCCCCAGAAAAAAAGTAAGGTGGAACCCTGCTGAAAACATTTGAAGGTGATTCTCTTTGGCCTGTTGCTTAAAAAAAGGATTTGGCTCATTCAAACCCCACTGAGATCAGTGCATTAGGTGAAAATCCACAATTCTTTTGGGTGCAAGAAAGTTATTTCTGCCTAGAAGATTTATTATCCTGGGGAAATCAGAGCAGGCAAGCTACTCGAGTTAAAAATTAATGTGAGACGGTAGCTAAGACATGCCATCTACAGTCTAGTGCAGGAGTCTTCAAATTTGACAGCTTTAAGACTTGTGGACTTCAACTCCCAGAATTCCTCCTCCAGTCATGTTAGCTCAGGAATTCTGGGAGTTGAAGTCCATTAAGTCTTAAACTTGCCAAGTTTGAAGACCCTTGGTCTAGTGGCTCTTCTGAGGCTACTGAGTATGATTTCTATCAGCCAGATGTTAGGAGCTGTAATTCATCCATGCTGCCAGGGACAATTTGCCTCCAGAAGTTGTGGCTGCTCCATAACTGGAGGTTCTTAAGAGGAGACTAGACAGCCACTTGTCTGGAATGGTATAGGGTCTCCTGCTTGAGCAGGGGGTTGGACTAGAAGACCTCCAAGGTCCGTTCCAAATCTGTTATTCTGTTATTTTGGCTGCAGTCTCCTCCTCCTCCTTGTGTGGACCGCAATCTAAGATTTCAGACTGACTTGGAGACCCCAGGAATTAAACCAGGAAGCTTCTGCTCCAGCGTAGACCCATGGCTGGCTGAGCTTTGCGCCCTCATTATTCTCCTCTTCCCATAGAACTGTCCGCATTTAACTTTGCAAGAAATAGGGTGGTGGAGATGAACGGTCCAATCTCAGTGTTTCTCATGATAGGAAGGACCATCTAACGTAGAAAACCATGTTCTCCTCTTTTTTTTCAGCCGGGGAAACGTATGATGCTGGATGAGTGCACCACTTGCCAATGTAACACACGGCAGGGACCGTACCTGACATACAAATTGATGTGTGGGAAAATTACCTGTGAACCATGCCCCAAGGTAAGAGGGAACCTTATGCTCCAAGGACCTTTCTTGACTTTGAAAGTTCTGATTTCTTCTGAATTGCAGAAGCCTTTGGTCTTTCTACTCTTGGCTCTGTCAGAAAATAGGAACTTCCTTTCCAATGAATTAGTCTCATTTGGTGACCAAAGTATTAAAGGTTCTTTCTGTTTGAAAGGCACAACACACTTAATATAGTACCCTGTTTCTCTGAAAATATGACCTCCCCTGAAAGTAAGTCCTAGCTTGATTTTTACACCTGCGCCCAATATAAACCCTACCCCCAAATAAGCCCTAATTAAGATCCTGCCCACTCCAGAGCGCACAGGGGGGAATTAAACTAGGAGGGATGGAGCCGCCCTACTACTTACCTTTGGACAGTTGTAACCAGGCCTTGCATATCCCAACACCTGCCTTGCCGGCCCATTTCTTCTGCAGCCGGCAAGGCTTTCCTGAAGGCCTCTGCAGTGATCGATCCAGAGCTCAGTTATCGGCTGCAGAGGCCTTCAGGAAAGCCTTGCCGGTCGCAGAAGAAGAAGTTCCTGAAGGCCTCTGACAGCGAAAAGGAGGCCGGGGCCTGTTGGGTATATGAATACACCAACTAGGTTTGGGTGACTAAATATATAAACCTAGGTTTAAGTGTTTGTAGCTTTAAGCACAAAACTGCAATGTAATTAGATAATTAAGGGTGCGGTTGCAAGCAGCAATATAAGGCAGTGAGAGAAACGTAACACTTCCTGGTTGCTGGTTACTGATTCCTGGTCACTGCTCCTGGTTCCTACTGGTCGCTGGTCTCTCTGCTGTCTGCTGCCTGCTGTTTACTGCTGTTTGAGACGTCTGCTTGTTAATGCTTGTTGGCTACTGTGCTGGATACCGTTTCTGCTGAACAAAAGGACTGTTTACTTTGTGAGCTGATATCCTGTGCATACTCAGCGTTGTCTTCGAGAGAAAGGTATCGGAAGGAGAAGATAAAGACATTGTACTGACTAGTTAATGGACTAGGTTACTGGATGGATATATTGGATAATGACATATGGACTGAATGACAATGCTTAAACTCTAAATGAATTAAATAACTATTTAAAACTACAAACAGTGTTTTTGTCTCCAGTGTGTGTATACTCTTGGGCCCAGCCTCTCTCTCATTTGGCTGCCTGGCTTGACTGCTGCTGTGCACTCTGCTTGGGGGTTTGTCCCCAAACACTAACATTGGTTATGGGCCCAGCAGTGAGCACAGTCTAACTAACCAGGATATAGCAGTGAGAGTTGGAGTGAGTTGCACATTACTGTACAAACTGTTTGTTGAATAGTTATTTATCTGAAGAGCAATGGCACAAGTAAATTTGCCAAATCTGTCCATGATATCCAGACTAGATGGAACAAACTATGTTTCATGGTCCTTGAAATGTAGTTTACTGCTACGAAGAGAAGGTTTGTGGGACATAATAACAAACCCACCAGATGTATCTAACTTAGATCCTAATGTTGAAGAGGATGCCAAAAAGATACAAGACTATGAACTAAAGAATGAGCAGGCTTTATGCATCATAGGACTGACTCTCTCAGACCAGCAACTGATTCATATCCGTGGAGAGGAAAATGCTGCTAACTGCTGGGAGAGTCTCAGGAAGATTTATGTTCGGGACAGTGTAGGAGCTCATATCAATCTTACACGGAAACTGTTTAGAACACATCTTGAGAAGAATGGAGACATGTTAACTCATTTAAACTGTATGAAAAGCATTTTTCAAGAATTACAAGAAAAAGAGCTTATATTTAATGAGTTGCAACAAGTATACATCATACTGTCTTCTTTGGATCGAAGCTATGATGATTTTGTGACTGCTTTAGAGGTATTGCCAAAAGACAGTTTATCAGTAACTGAGATTACCGGCAGGCTATTAGAAGAAGCCAGAAGAAGGTTTGAGCGTGACCAGCTGAGGGAAGATAAACCTAAGAAAGAAGAGAAATTATCTTCAAAGCTTGAAAGAAACCAGCTTAGTAAAGTAAAGCACCCGGAAGAAGAGAATTTATCTTCGACGGCATACACAATTAAAAAGTGTTTTAATTGTGGAGGCAGAGGACATTTGGCAAGATTCTGCAGAAAAGGAAAAAGCCAGAATGTAAAGAAGCCAAAGAAATCCTTTGAACTAGCCACGTTTAGCAACTGTGATGTGAAGAATGATTTATGGGTGGTGGACAGTGGTGCATCCCACTGCATCACGAGAGATAAGACAAAGTTTATAAAAATGTCAACAAGCTCTCAGCATATATCACTCGTGAATGGCTGGCACCTCAAGGCCAAGGGTGAAGGTATTGCATATTGTCCATGTTTAAACCAGAATATAAAAATGTTATATGTACCACAGTTAAAGATGAACTTACTTTCTGTAAGAGTATTAGATAAACTAGGTTATGTAGTTACATTTAAGGATAATAAGTGCATACTTGAAAGAGATAACAAAAGGGTAACCGCAGCTTTAAATGGAGCATTATATGTCTTACATGATAGTAAGAAAGGGGAGGCACAGACTGTATTTAACAATATAAGGCCTCATAATGAATGTATCCATTTATTGCATAGGCGTTTGGGGCATGTAAATTTTAAAATGCTAAAACGCACAGTGGAGTTATCTGAAGGAATAAGGTTAAAACCCTGTGATAAATATTTGCGTTGTAATGTCTGCTGTGAAGATAAGAGTAAAATATTGCCTGCAAATAGGCTAAATGGTTTCAAAACTAAAGAACCTTTAGAAGTAGTATTTGCAGACATTATAGGTCCAAAGAAACCCAGTATGGGGGGTGCTCGATATATACTGAGCATTATGGACCATTACTCTAGATATGGGTTTTGCTACTTAATGAAAAGCAAAACTGAAACATATCAACATTTCTTCAACTGGTTAAAGTTTGCAGAAAGAAAAACCAAACGGCAACTGATAACCTTGGTGACAGATAATGGTACGGAATTTGTTAACAGCAAATTCCAGAATAGATTAAAGGTAGCTGGAATAGAGCACAAGAAATCTGCACCATATAGACCACAACACAACGCATTTATAGAGAGAAGAGGCCAGACACTACAGGCAATGGTTAGAACAATGATAACTGATTCTGGATTACCTGATTCTGTGTGGGGGGAGGCTGCAATGTGTGCCAATAACATATTGAACAACGTTGTTAACTCAACTACTGGTGAAATACCATTCACCATGTGGCATGGCAGGAAGCCTGATCTGAGTTACCTGCACACATTTGGTGCACCAGCATGGGTGCATATCCCTACACAACTCAGGCGTAAAGGGCAACACAGAGCTAAACAATTCTTCTTCGTTGGTTACGAAGCTAACCATAGGGCATATAGATTTTGGGAGAAAGGCACATCTAAGGTGTTATGTAGTGCCAATGCCCAATTTCTAGAGCATGTAGGATGGGATAAGTTAGAACAGGATAACAATAAAGAAGTGATTATTGAATCCTATAGAAATCCCATTAAGTATCCCTGTAACTTTAAAAATAAAGTAAAGAGAGAAGTACAGGAAGAGATAGAGCCCATAAAGGAAGAAATAGCTGAGCAAGCTGAGGAACATGAACAGGTAGTAATTCAAAAAAGTCCTCATACAAGCCCTGTAATTCCCAGAAGAACTACACGAATATCTAGACCGCCTGATAGATACCAGGCTAACACTGTGTGCCAGGTAAATAAAGTTCCATATACTGTGGATGAAATTAAAAAGTATCCTTCTAAAGATAAGGAAAGTTGGTATGCAGCAATGAATAAGGAATTGAAATCCTTGAAGGATATGAAAGTATATGAAAATGCGAGATTACCTGTTGATATAAAACCCATTGGCTGCAAATGGATTTTTAAGATAAAAACCGATAAAGATGGAAATATTATCCATAAGGCAAGATTAGTAGCCCAAGGTTTTAGACAAAGTGCCAATGACTATGATGAGGTATTTTCACCTAGTCTTAAAGCAGTAACATTAAGGGCAGCCTTAGTGTGGGCAGCAAGCAAGAAATATATAGTTAACCATTTAGATGTGGAAACTGCTTACCTGCACGCTCCACTAAGACATACTGTATATATGAAAAGGCCTAGTGGATTTAAAGGTGAAAATAATAATGATTGTTGGTTGTTAAAGAAAAGCCTCTATGGTCTTAAACAATCAGGCTATGAGTGGAACCAGTATATTGTGAAGGAGCTAAACAATATAGGGTTTAAAGCTGGTTTAGCCGATCCATGTCTGTTTAAGAGGGAGACAAACGGGAAAATATCATCATTATTATTATTATTCACTGATGATATTGCCTTGATTACTGAGACTAATGATGAAGCAAATAAAATAATAGCATCATTAGGTAAGAAAATAAAAATCAAGCAATTAGAGGAGATAAAGAGATATCTAGGTTTGAATATACTGAAAACACAGAAAGGTTTTAAGATATCTCAGGAAGATAAGATATCTAAATTGCTAATAGATTATAAGATGGAACTTTGTAAGCCTGCAAAGACTCCAATGAGTCAGGATATTTGCAAAATGGATGCTCAAAGTCCCAAGTTTGATAAGGCAATATATCAATCTTTGATTGGTAGCTTATCATACATTAGCAATTGGTCAAGGCCAGATATAGCTTATAGTATTAATCAGCTGGCACGACATAATAATGATCCGCTTCAATGTCATTGGATAGCATTGAAGAGAATCTTAAGATATCTTAAAGGAACATTACACCATGCACTGTATCTAGAACCAAAAGGTGATCTCATACTGAGTGCTTATGCAGATGCTAGTTTTGCATCAGAAAGAGATACAAGAAAGTCGACTTCAGGAACAGCCATAATGCTGGGTAAGACATTAATAGGTTGGAAGTCAATAAGACAACAGCATATAAGTTTGTCTACTATGGAGGCAGAATTCTCCTGTTTATCACTATTATGTACTGAATTGATTATGTATAAACAAATGATGAATGATATGGGTATAACTGTAAATTATCCTATAATTGTACATGAAGATAATCAGGCAGCAATTCAAATGGCCACAAATATTGCAGTAAAAACTAGGAGCAAGCATACAGATTTAAGGTATCTAAATGTTAGACAATCTGTACAGAGTAAAATGATACAGCTGGAGTACTGCATGTCGGAGGACAATATAGCTGATAATTTTACTAAAGCCCAAGGTGCCATTAAGCACCAAAGAGTTGTGAAAAGTATGGGTTTAAATTGTAAAGGTATTATATATTTATATCACCCAAAAGGGGAGAATGTTGGGTATATGAATACACCAACTAGGTTTGGGTGACTAAATATATAAACCTAGGTTTAAGTGTTTGTAGCTTTAAGCACCAAACTGCAATGTAATTAGATAATTAAGGGTGTGGTTGCAAGCAGCAATATAAGGCAGTGAGAGAAACGTAACACTTCCTGGTTGCTGGTTACTGATTCCTGGTCACTGCTCCTGGTTCCTACTGGTCGCTGGTCTCTCTGCTGTCTGCTGCCTGCTGTTTACTGCTGTTTGAGACGTCTGCTTGTTAATGCTTGTTGGCTACTGTGCTGGATACCGTTTCTACTGAACAAAAGGACTGTTTACTTTGTGAGCTGATATCCTGTGCATACTCAGCGTTGTCTTCGAGAGAAAGGTATCGGAAGGAGAAGATAAAGACATTGTACTGACTAGTTAATGGACTAGGTTACTGGATGGATATATTGGATAATGACATATGGACTGAATGACAATGCTTAAACTCTAAATGAATTAAATAACTATTTAAAACTACAAACAGTGTTTTTGTCTCCAGTGTGTGTATACTCTTGGGCCCAGCCTCTCTCTCATTTGGCTGCCTGGCTTGACTGCTGCTGTGCACTCTGCTTGGGGGTTTGTCCCCAAACACTAACAGGGCCGACACACGCAAGTAAAGTTAGTCAGTGGATGGCATCCCCCGAAAATAAGACCTGGTGCCTTTTTTGGTGGAAAAAAAAGACAGGATCTTATTTTCGAGGAAACACGGGACATGATATTCAGAGAGGGCTGTTCCAAAGAGATGCAAAGCAACCTCGGAGAGCACATGGAGAGCATATCTCCTTGAGTCATCCCAGCCGCTGCATCTCTTCTCTGACTGCCTCCTCCATGCAAATATCTGTGACCACCTCATCAATTGCAGAACTGTTTCCAAAATCCCTAGTGAAAGATGCAGCTATTTTAAAGACCCCAAGAGAGCTGTTTTCAAGGTCTCCACCTGTTGTCAAAGTCTTCTTTCTAAACAAGCCAGGATCCAAAGTTTGATTGGCACTCATGCACCCCAGCGTAAAGTGAATAATGTCACAATTGTAGATGCAAAGCAGAGAGGGCCCACTTCAGTGTTATATCCTAGTGTCATTTGACTGCCATTTTCTTGATCTAAAGAAATTTGACAGAAAGTGAAATAAAAGTTAACGCGCACATATGTCCTTGATGTTAAAATAAAATGAGCATGAAAGTTGACAGAAAACTTTGTAATGTCCCTCATGATGTCATGCTGATGGAAAGAAATCAAGGTTTTAATTTGATAATGTCATTATTTACATTGATTTTGTCACAGGCCTTTTGTTCCTGGTTTCTGAATAAACATAGGATATTGTAGCTGGAAGCTGCAAATTAAAGCTGATTTGGGTTTTTTAAAAAGATCAAGAAGAAAAAAGATAAAAACTCTCCATATTTGTGCTGTTTACTTTTCAGATCTCGTGGAACTTTGCCACTTAATCCTGCATTTATTCCATTCCTGGGTTAAGCTGAGAGACTGGGTCTCCGTGAAATTTAAAACTGAGTTTCCCCTCTCCTAATCCAATGCTCTTAGCACCACTCCACACTGTCTTCCCCACATTAGGCAAATGACAAGAGATTGTAGCCACCTTTTCATTTTTGACTTGATCCTCTCTTTTGTTAAAAGGCATGGTGGCCTAGCAGTTAAAACTCTGGGCTTGTCAACTGAAAAGTTAGCATTCTCTTTATATATTTATTATTTAATACAAAATACAAAAATGCAAGACAATAAATAGGAAAATAAGAGAGGAAAAAGGGAAGGGATAAAAATAAAGAAGCAAGAAAATGCATTGACCTCTGACTCCCTTTGATGCAGTAGAATAAGATAATAGCATCAAATCTCGACTTTTTACTTTTACATAATAATATAAACTAGCCATTTCTCTAACAGCAAACCTATTAATCGGCAAAACCCAAAATCAAACTTTCGGGGTTGTTTTCCTACTTCAAGCATATAATCCAGAAGTGGTTTCCAGGTAGCAATTATATATATTTTTTCCTTTGATCAAAGCAGTCCATTTGGCCATCTCTGCTAAACTGAAAGGTTGGCAGTTCAAGACCCAAGCACATGGCGGGGGTGAGCTTCTGTTCCTTGCCTCAGCTTCTGCCAACCTAGCAGTTCAAAAGCATGCAAATGCGAGTAGATAAATAGGTGCCACTTTGGTGGGAAGGTAATATTATTCTATGCGCCTCGCTGTACAGTCATTCTGGCCACATGGACCATGGAAAAATCTTTGGAAAAGGGTGGATCCCTCAGCTAGGAAACGAACACTACCCTGTAGACCAAGGGTCTTCAAACTTGGCAAGTTTAAGTCTTGTGGACTTCAACTCCCAGAATTCCTGAGCTAACATGACTGGAGGCGGAATTCTGGGAGTTGAAGTCCACAAGTCTTAAACTTACCAAGTTTGAGGACCCCTGCCGTAGAGTCAGATGTGACTGGATGGGGAAATCCTTACCTTTATTTTTCTGTTTTGTTATTGTAACATCACAGAAGCAGTTATTAAAAGATACAGTTGGGTGCGAGGAAAGTTCCTACAAATTAATCAATCCTCATTTCCTAAGTCCAAATCTCTGGATGAAAAGAGAAGAAGGACAAGGGAATACAACCTTGCTCTCCTCCCAATTATTACATGTTGATAGAGGACAGTGAAAAAATTAGGGCCAGTTTTTCATGCCATCATTGCAAAAATGTTTCGGCAGAGAGGATCCTACACTGATTATTATCTGCAACAACTAGTTGTCAAGAAAGAGGATGTGGGATGTCTTCAGCTGGGATCAGAAGTTCCCATGGGAGATGTGCCATTGACATGAAGCTCTGCCACTCTCCTTAAGGACCTGCTGGATGAGTGGCAGATTGCGTGTGGGGAAACCAGGCTCGGAGAAACGGGACTGTAATGACAGTTAATTCCTCAGCTTTCTTTTTCAAAGCAAACTTGACTCTTCTGTACTTCCCTAATACAAATATAAGAATATTGTTGTCTGCCGATAGTCACATTTTGTTTCAGATATTGCAACGTGTAATATTAAAGGAAAATGCAAGTATGACACCTACAAAGATGAAAACTGCAGTAAACAAGAATTTGTTTTAAAAAAGCATATACGAATTCTCCTTCAGAAAGATCTGCAAAACAATACAGAATAAGAAGAAAGCTGATATCATCATCCGTTGATAGTCTGTATTTTTTTGAGATTTTGCAATATGTCAGATTAAAGGAAAATGCAAGCAAGACGCTTATAGCAATGAAACTACTGTAAACAAAACTTTCATATATATATATTAGTTCGATACCCATGCTTTGCTACGAAACTATGTGGTCGGGCTTAATTTTTTTGGGAGGAAAATAAAGGGAAAAAATTCTGCCTCTGCTTACCAGCATCCATCAGTATTCATCTGGCTAGCGTCCTGTCAGTGTCTGAGAGAGTTGAGAAACTGAAAGAGTATTTGCTGTGTAAGCAGGAAGGAGACAGCAAGGAGCCTGGGCATGGTTTAGCTCAAATGTTCTGTACTAGATAGAATAGATAGAATTCTTTATTGGCCAAGTGTGATTGGACATACAAGGAATTTGTCTTGGTGCAAATACTCTCAGTGTACATAAAAGAAAAGATACATTCGTCAAGAATCAAGAATCATAAGGTACAACACTAAAGCTGCTTGGTGCTATGAAAGTAAAACCGAAACTGAAACTCCTCTCCTCTTGTGTTTTGCATTTGGAAAAGATTTCTTTTCAGTTGGGGAGATGGAGTAGAACTCCTTAGCATCAGAGCGTGTTAATAATAATATATGAAATACTAATGCTCTGATGGTCATTTCAAAAAATCCTTTCTTAGTGAGCACCTAGAAGCCAAGAGGAACATGCCAATTTCCAGTTTGTAGGCTTTATGGTTCTGGAGATTTTGTGATGATGCGTGAGGGGTATCCGTTCCAACTCTGTTACTCTGAGGTTAAAGGCAAAGTGTTTATCGATGCTTAAAATTCACTTTGGGTGTTAATCTTGGGTTTGCAGAATTACCAGATGGAGAAAACCTCTGGTTCCTGCTGCGGGAAATGTTTGCCAACTCGGTGCGACATACAGCTGAGGAATGGAACCATTTTGTATCTGAAGGTCAGTAGCGTTAACATCTATTTCCTAATTTATATATCCAGATGGAGGAAAAAACTCTCCCCAAAACAGTCTTTAAGTGGAGGAAATTCAGTCCAAAAACAAAGTACATATATACTGTAAATAAAAATCCACACAAACCACACTGCAGCAATTAACTGGACAGGGCAGGATAAGGAATTGCAGACTTCAAAGGCCAACAAAACACACACAGTTGGGAAGATGCTAGGAACTCAAATAAGCCTTGACAAACGAAGATAACTCACGGTTCGCTTCCAATGAGTTGCTGTGCACAATCTCCCTTTTTAAACACTGTTCCCAGCTGCAGCTAATGGAGGGAATCAGGGCCCTTTTCTCCCCCGTGAGCCATGCCACCCACATTGCTCCCTTCTCCATTCCTCCCTGCACACTCTAGGATGAAGAGGGGGTGGGCCTGGATCTTCCTCTGAATTCCCTCTGCCTTGCTCTATCTCTCCCCTGCTCTGCCCAGCCGGACTTTGCCCTTCCCCAGTTTCCTCCACAGCCAATGGAGCCACACTCCCACTCCCTGTCAGCTGCTTGGCCTCCCCCTCGGAATCAGATTCCAACAGAGGCATGATAAATTCTGGGAGTTGAAGTCCACAAGTCTTAAAGTTGCCAAGTTTGAGGACCCCTGGTTTATAGTCTAAAATACAAAAGCAAATAATAAGAAAAATACAGGAGGGAAAAGGGAAGGGGAGAGCATAGAGAAGGAGAAAACAAAAAAAGGCATTGGCTTCCAACTCTCTTTGGAAGGAAGGGTGCTGTAGAATAAGATAGCAACATCAGAGCGCAACTTTTATTTTTACATAATAGTTTATACTATTACGTAAACTGTTAAAGCCATTTTTATAAAAATAGGTCTATGGAATCCGTTAAACCCTCAGCTATCCCAGCCAGTCTATGGGGATTTGATAGTTACTTAGGAATTATGAGCTGTCCCCTTAAGGGAATGCATCATGGTAAATGTAGTTAAAGGTATCCTGGGAAATGTAATTCATGTCATGTGGCCACATCTGTAATCCCGATTGGTCACGAATTTGACCCTTGATGGGTTGGGGGAGTTTCCTCATTTTTGCCTGAACTCCCTAACTCATGGCAGTTGCTTTCTATCTCTACAAGATGGGTTAGGAGATAATCATCTTTTACTTTTCTGTCTTCTGCACAGTAGTGGGTTTTTAAGCTGTGCAGATGCAGATAGATAAACTCAACAAGACGTCCATAACAAAGTACATTTATTGGTTCATCAGGTATCCTCATATCTCACATTTGTGACAAAGTTCTTCTTTAATGACCAATCCTTTGCATATCTGCCTTGTAGTAAAAGATGATTATCTCCTAACCCATCTCGTAGTGATAGAAAGCAGCTGCCATGACTTAGGGAGTTCAGGCAAAAATGAGGAAACTCCCCCAACCCATTGAGGGTCAAAGTAGTGACCAATCAGGATTACAGATGTGGCCACGTGACATGAACTACATTTCCCAGGATACCCTTAACTACATTTACCATGATGTATTCCCTTAAGGGGACAGCTCAGAATTCCTAAGTAACCATCAAATTCCCATAGACTGGCTGAGACAGCACAAACCCCAAAATTGAAATTTTCATATATATTTTTTTCCACCTCAAGCACCAAGTCCAGAAGCGGTTTCCAAGTAGAAACAAAAGTACTTGTGGTTTTTTCTTTTTCTTCTTTGACCAAAGCAGTCAATTTAACCATCTCTGCTAGCTCTATCTGCTTTTGCAACCATTCATCCATTGTTTGGAATTGAAGCCTCCTTCCCAATTTTGTGCATGAAGTAGTCTTGTTTCTGTCAACATAGATAATGAATCTTTGCTGTTTCCTGAACTTCACACAGAACAGCATTTCCACAGCCTTTTCTCCTGAGAGACCTGCCTCAAATGGAAAAAGTAAATTTCCTCTTGAGATCCTCCAGAGAGAGGGTGCACCTAGTATTTTCTTTTCCTAGACAAATATGTAGAAGAAATGGAAAAACAGGGTTATTTTTCCACTTTTGTGCAAAGGAGAACACAATCTAAAGAGAGAAGGAATAGTAGGCCTTCATATTCATGTCAACTACCTGAGGCCCTTGGAGAAAGGCCTTGAGGAGATAAATGTATTGATGGACCAGATCATAAAAAGAAGGCACGCTTTTGCAATAATAGAAAAAAATAGATTATTTTTTTTAAAAACCCACTTTCTTCTATTTTATGAGGACGGCTGGCAACCTAAGATGTGACCTCACGAATGTCTTTTGTGATGGCCACAGCTGGAATCTTGTGAAATGACTAAATCTGAGAAGAGAGGCTGACATTTTCACACTATACATTATGGTGCAAATAATTCACTTTTATGGAGATTTCATTACGCTTTTAATTTTTATTTTACTGTGAGGGAAAAGAGGCATCTGAGATGGAAGTGTTCTCTGCTCCCAACCATCAGGTCTGGCCCAGATGGTTGACCTAGAGGTGAAGGCCCTGGGAAGGAAATATTTTTTCAGGAGACTCTGATTTAATCATCTGGCTCTTAAGTCTGCCTGGGAACTTTTACAGATTTCAAGATTATGCTTTTACTCCTGACTGGCGTTAAAGATGCTTTCCTGAAACCCAATTTGTTCTTGTTCTTTATGCATGCCATCTGTATGCAGCTGGAGAGCATCACTCAAACAAAATGCACAGGCACAGTATATGTGGTACCTTGCTCAATAGTGGTAACTGTGAGACAGATCTTGCAGTCCTAGTGGACAATCACTTAAATATGAGCCAGCCAAGTGCTGCAGCTGCCAAAAAAAGCCAACACAGTTCTAGGCTGCATAAATGGAGGGATAGAATCAGGATCACATGAAGTGTTAATACCACTTTATAATGCCTTGGCAAGGCCACACTTGGAATGCTGCATCCAGTTTTGGTTGCCATGCTGTAAAAAAGATATTGAGACTCTGGAAAGAATGCAGAGAAGAGCAACCAAGATGATTAGGGGACTGGAGGTTAAAACATGTGAAGAACAGTTGTGGGAACTGGGTATGTCTACCGTGTTTCCCCCAAAATAAGACCCTGTCATTTTGCAACCCAAAAAGGCACCAGGTCTTATTTTCGGGGGATGTCTTCCACTGACTAATCTCACTTGCGTGCATCGGCCCTGGTCTCCTTTTTGCTGTCAGAGGCCTTCAGAAACTTCTTCTTCTGCAGCCAGCAAGGCTTTCCCGAAGGCCTCTGGATCGATCCAGAGCTTTGTTATCAGCCACAGAGGCCTTTGGGAAAGCCTTGCCAGCCTTGCCGGCTGCAGGAGAAATGTGCTTTTTTTGTAAATTTGTCAGCTGGGCTTGGGATTTTCCTGGGTGCCTTTGGCCAATTACAATCTCACTGCAACAACAACGAAAAATGGATCTTTTACAGCCAAACGAAACAATCCAAGATGGATGCGACAATCATTTTTGCAAGGTGAACCGGAAAGGAGACTTCATTTGGGAGAGGAAGATCACGGGTTGCCCTCCATTTGATTCCAAGAAATGCTTAGCTGAAGGAGTAAGTATGGAATCTACCTCTTCTGGGATGCATTTTAAAATGGTATTGGTTGTAGCGATGTGTTCAGTTTGTGCTTTACGGAGCATCATAAACGAAACAGTCCCAAAGGTGCACTTTTCAGGAGGCAGCTGGACTTTCTGTTTTTTTTTCTTTTGAAGACGTTTTGCTTCTCATCCAAAAAGCTTCTTCAGCTCTGGCAGGATAATGGGGAATGGAAGGATTTATATTCCTTGCAGACAGCTGGTCATTTGCATCCTTTTAGAGGGTTGTTGAGGCCACTTGGAGGTGTATCTGTGTCCTCAGGGTCATCTGAGTGATGCTCCTGGTTCCTGTAGTCTGCAATTTTTCCTCTGGAAGTCCATTCCCACTCCCACACCATTCAAAGGGGGGATTTCAAATAATCTCTACAGACTTTTAGCTATACAATTTGGGATGAAGACCCTTTGAATGGTGTGGGAGCAGGAACAAATTTCCAGAGAAAAAATTGCAGACTACAGGAACCAGGAGCCCCGCTTGGGTGACCCTGAGGGCACAGATAAACCTCCAAGCAGCCTCAACGACTCTCTATAAAGGATGCAAATGACCCGCAAGGAATATAAATCCTTCCATTCCCCACCATCCTCTCAGAGCTGAAGAAGCTTCCTGGATGAGAAGCAAAATGTCTTCAAAAGAAAAAACAAGAATGACCTGGATGACTGAGAATCTTTGGAGATATAAATGAAGGAGATTTCTGCTCTGAGGACACTGCGGTTCTAAACATTGACAGAGAGAGGAAGAGCAAGGCATGAAAAGGAAGAGGGAGGTGAGGGTTATTCGTTTCTTGGAGAGATGTGTGCCTCATTTCTCATGGCTTTGCATGTTTGCAGAATCAAAACACTTTGCGACTTTGCTGGAATTATATACTGAAAGGCATGCTTTTCTTTAACAGAGCAAAGAATGCATCTGAATGTAATTTGGGTCAGATAAAAATTGATGCCATTTGGTCTAATCTGAAGTTCTCCTTCCTTGGGTATCTTTGTCTCTGCAGTTGGGAGCATGTCTTTTACTCTGTAGTTTCAAAGTTATAAGGAATAAAGAGAGAACATCTATGTTCAATATCCAAAATGGATTTCTCAGTTTCTGTTGTTTACAGTGGCTTCTACCCAAAGCATTGTTTTTGCCAAATTTAATCCTTTTTATTTTTTGATTATTTAAAAGGGGATAAGGCTGATTTTCTCCAAATTCCCTGTGATTTCCAGTGGAGCACAACTGTGTCTTCTTCTGCCTAAAATGTTGTTCGTTTCAATCAAAATGTTATGGCATTTGTAAGCAGCTTCCAAAATATTATCCCTACCAGATCGGGAAAAACAAGAGCAGAGGGGATGAACCTATCATGGGTTTTATTTTCATACCTTTTTTTTCCTCCCTTTTTGCTCTTATGGCCATTTTAATGACTAACTGCAGAAAGGTTTGGTTGTCATTAAATTGGTTGTCATTAAGTTTGATGAATTCTACATTCTAAAAAAAATATTGTGCAAATATCCCATGATTCCTTCAATAAGCTTCTAGCCTTGATAACTTTTAGCAATGTGTGTGTGTGAGAGATAAGGGGGGAGGGAGAGAGGGAGAGGGAGGGAGAGAGGAAGGAAGGAAGGAAGGAAGGAAGGAAGGAAGGAAGGCTGGCTGGCTGACTCTCTTGGTCAAGTCTCAGAGCCACCAGAATCAAATAGCATAGAAATGTTAAAAATAACCAAACGTCATTGGTTAAAGTTTGCATTAAGAGAGTTTTAGACATGGACACCTGTGTCTATTTGTCTTAATTGGTGTGTCGCTGTCTTCTTCTCTAGGGCAAAGTGACAAAACTTGGCAATACCTGCTGTGAAACATGTAAGTACCCCGCCCCCCCCAAAAAAACCCTGCTTCATCTCCTGTAAGATTGTCACGTATTTCTGAATAGGTATGCGGCTGCAATATGAAAAGAGAAGCGTGAAAATAATATTACTGGATCATGTCTCTGCTTCTTAGCCACAATGATGCCAGAAGGACAACATGCCTGTTGTAATCAGTGGTGGGATTCTACCAGTTTCCCTACCGGTTCGGCAGTCGCGCACTTCGTGCATGCGCTCACAGCTTTCCAAACACCAGCTGAGGCTCTGCCGCACCAATCAGCTGAGTGAATAAAGAAGAGAAAAGCGCAGGGGTTGCGTGGGAGGGCTGATCCTGCGCTTTTCTCTTCTTTCTCCTCTCAGCTGATCATCGAAGCTGGGCCGAACCAGTAGCATTTCACCACTAGTTGTAATGGCATAATGCAGTCTTTGCCCTTTTAAATTTAAGAGCATCATCTACAAATACAGGATAGAGTTTGCATAATGACCCATCCTGTGCCCCTTATTTTTCCTTTAGATGTCTTTACCAGTAGCCCAGGGAGTTGGAGTAGACCTTCCTCACCATCGAATAGAAGGACCTCGCTGAAGTGTTCAGCGAAACTCAAGGTGACAATGAACTACGTGTCTCAGAGTTGGCTAGCTATCAGGATTCCGGCAGTTACCCTCCTTTAAATCACGAGTCTCGAGCCAAACTTCCAAAACTTCAAAAGGATTTATTGGGAGTTAACATGCAGGCACTGCCTGGGTGTAGCTGACTCTGAGGCACATCATTCATTGTCACCCTTGACCCTGTTTTCTCCCCACCCTCCTGGGTGTATCATAATTCATATTCTCCAATGGGACACATGCCTAGCCAAGAGTCATCAATCATGCTCTCCAGTTAGAATTTTGCACGGCAGAAACTTCAGTCACCTAGTTACTATCTTTGAAAACATTTATGGAATGCAGTTTCGGTTTTGCAAGCTGCTGAACTGCTTCCCTCCTCCCTTTCTGTTGTCAACTCTAAAAAGACCAGAGAAATATTTTATGAGTTGACAGGTGCATTGTTATGAAGGTTGGGCACACTGTCAACATCATGACATCCATCTTGATGTTAACCAACCAAGAAGGGTTTTCTTTGGGTTCCAGCAATGAATTTAGCCCTGGGTACAGAGGTCTTAATCATCCCTTCTAATTCTAGTAGGGTGTCCTTATACCTAGCAATTCCCACAATATGTGTGGGAAATCAAATGTACCTAATAAATCAAACTATCAAAGCATCTGTGCATCCAGAGTAGAAACCCACAATGGATGTTTCTTGCTGCTTTTCTGCCTGAGGCACTTCCTTCCTATTTCCTGTGGGGTCCTTGGTAATCTCTGAGCTTGGTGGTTTTCTTGTAGATGTTTCCTTACCAAACTTGGTAACATCACCACTGCTAATGATGTTGCCTAGTTTGGTAATGATAATGGTACCTAGTTTGATAGTGAAGTGTCTCCAAGAAAACCAACAAACTCAGGGATCCCCAAGGACCTCATAGTTCAATCCTGACCTACAAATATTCTCTTCTATTGTTACTTTTTCCTCTCTGCCTCTAATTGGGCTGAGCAATTCAACTCAGCAGTCTCTCCTCAGAGACTAATCTGGTCATGCTTTTACATCATTGATATGGATGCCTATTGTCAGCAGGAGCCTTGGCAAGATGTCTGTTCTCAGTCAATGATTTGGTCCAGGTAGACTTGGTAGTTATAAGGCAAGGGAATCAAAAAGTTTCTCTCTCAACGCAGGCTAACAAGTCCATCCGGCTGGGAGATGAACAGTTATCTGCCACATCTATTCATCTCCACCCCCTGCCTTTTATCCCCAAAGCTAGAGTGGGGCTTCACAAGCAGCGATGGCTCTTCCATCCCAAGGACCGGCCCGTAGATTTCCACTGCTCTCCTCTGCCTTCTGCGCATCCACACATCAGGCACTGGACCCAACTGTTCCTCCCCTTCCTCATCAGCCACCTCCAGACCTGGTTCTTCCATCCCAAGGACCGGCCCATAGATTTCCACTGCTCTCCTCTCTTCTGCCTTATGTGTGTCAGGCACTGGACCCAGCTGTTCCTCCTCTTCCTCATCAGCCACCTCCAGATCTGGTTCTTCCCTCGCAAGGACCAGCTCATAGATTTCCACTGCTCTCCTCTCCTCTGCATTCTGTGCATCCGGGCATCAGCACTGGACCAACCTGTTCCTCCTCTTCCTCATCAGCCACCTCCAGACCTGGGGGCTGTTGACTCTCCATCAGAGGGCTGATGAATGGGCCAGGCTCCGCCTCTCTCTCTCTCCCTCCCTCTCTCTGCCAGCTCTTTTCCCTCTTCCCCTCAGAGCTCTCGGGTTGCTTTGACGCTGCCTCTGACTCCCCACACCTCCTCCTCCTCCTCTGATTTGGTTGCTGGAGGAGCCCATGGCCAACAGGCCACAAGAAAAGGCATCTCGATTGTCAAAAATCTGGGAAATGCCTCCCTGTCTTAAAAGAGATTTTCCCCCATCTACTCTTCTTTCATCCATCAGCCCCAAAGCTTGGTTTTCAGTGACCCTAAATAAAAGCTTGGGTTGCCAAATTGTATGGTGGATAATTACGGCATTTGTTTAGCCCTGAAAATCCTCCCTTGTGACAAGGTCAAAATGTCGAGCAGCCCTTCGCCCTCCATACTGCCTTTCCCTCAGTCCCTCCTTTTGCTCGGTTCATCTGTCAATAAATAAAAGATGGTCTGTCCAGGAAGCATCCCAACCTTGGCCCAGTAATTGCTGTAACCAAACCCAAGTCAGCTCCAAGATAATTCTTGTGGTTGCTTGCCTGGATATTGTCGCATTCGAGCTCGTCTGGAGCATTTGAGTTAGCAGGTCACCGTCGAATGGTGTTCTCTGGTTAACTGATAATTAACAAGGCTTTTGTAATATTGTCTGCCACAATTAAATCATGAAGATTGTTAAGCAAAGATGCCCAAGAACCTTTCTACCCAAAGCAGATGTGAAAGTAATATGCAAAGCTCCAGGAAAAAAAAAAGTTGATTGACATGAGAAAAATGCGGCAGAATAGAACTGGTTAAGAAGAACTACGCAGATCCTGTGTTTTGGTGTTCTGAAGGAAGAATGTTTGCTGGGAAGAAGTAGATTTCAAAGAATTTTCACTGTTTACACAAAATCTGCTCTGCTCACATATTTGTTAAAAGAGGTTCCATGTGATCTGGGAAAACAGGGGGAAAAAAAAAGAATTAAGAGAAACATTTACAGCTGCACAAGTTGCTAATCCATCGTTTCCCTTTTTCTATCTTGTTTTATGAGTGGCATAAAAGACTTTTGGTCCATTGTACCTGCAGCCCCATTTTGTAGTCGCTGTGGGTTTGTAGTCTGGGCCCATTTTTAATCTCCATTAAGCTTCCTTTATTTATTCTGGACTCAGATTATCCGGGCCGCCACAAGCAATAAGATAAAATAAGATGCGCAAAGGAAATCTCCACCACCACCAGCAATGTGGCCAGAGACACGGGTTCTAATTCTTTGCACCGGGATCTGGCAACTTTATTGTAGTGCAAAATTGTGGTGGCAGCTGCAGAGCCCAGCGGAGGTGATCGAACTGTTGACAGATTGGCATTTGCAGCAATAAATGTGAAGCCTTTACTAGGAAGAAACAAGAATGACTTTAGGACAAGCTGAGTCAATCCCACTACGCAAGGCTACCACAAAGAAGACGGGGTCAACTTATTTTCCAAAACATCAGAAGGCCAGACAAGATAAAATTATTAGCAACTAATCAAAGAGAGAAGCAACCTGGAATTGAGGAGAAAGTTCCTAACAGGGAGGACAATCAACCAGTGGAACAGCTTGCCACCAGAAGTTCTAGGTGCTCCATCACTGGAGCCACTTGTCTAAAATGATATAGGTATCAGCATTCCAATGAAATTCTCCATTTCCATTGAGCACTCAGAAACAAAGTTCATCCAAGTAAGAATTTATTAGAAAAGTCATATTGGCACATCTGGGAAAACCCGAATCTGAGAGTTCTGGGTTTTTCTTTCCCAATAGAAATTCAAAGATCTATCCCTTACACCCATCATCTATTACATGGTCCAATCAAATGTCATCCCAACTGGAGACATTCCTCCAGACATTCCCCTCCAGGTGCAGGGTAATTTGTCCTTGACTTTTTGTGAAAGAATGTTGTTGAGTTTAATCTTCTGCCTCTCTATGAATTTCCCAATTTCCCAGGCACTAAATGTGGCAGTCTCGAAGCTTCTTAGTGAAAGATGGCTTCCAAGGCTGACAATAGGATCTCCTACTTGAGCAGACAGGGGTGGGATTCAATTTTTTTAACAATCAGTTCTGTGGGCGTGGCTTGGTGGTCATGTTTTTGGCTGGGCATGGCCAACTCAATATCACTCACATCAAGGCACGCATCTCCTTGCCTGGCCTCTCATGACTGTGGAGATGCTGCAACAGTCGTAAGTGTGAAAAATGGTCATAAGTCACTTTTTTCAGAGCCATTGTAACTTTGAATGGTCACTCCACACAAGCAAAGTACCAGCAAAGGAGGGGGGAAAAACTCCAGAGACGTTCCTGAGACAGGAAGTCTAGTCCTGCCAAGAATGTAATAAGGGTTAACGGAGGAGGCAGTTTCTGTAAGCAACACCAGAATGTTTCCTTCCTGCCTTCCTTACAGGATTAGGCCAGTAATTTCTTCTAACAACCGGCTCTCTGAACTGCTTAAAATGTTAACAACCGATTCTAGCGAATAGGTGCGAACTGGTAGAATCCCACCCCTGTGAGCAGAGGGTTGTACTAGAAGATCCCCAAGGTCCCTTCCAACTCTATTATGGTTGGTTGGTTGGTTGGTTGGTTGGTCGGTTGGTTAAGAGCATAATGGTTCCTCTATTTTGGTCTGAAAGCTTTAGTATTTTTCCAAGAAGATGTATAGTCTTATTTTTGTATAGATGTATAGTCTTATTTTTCCAAGAAGATGTATAGTCCAAGAAGATGTATAGGGTATAGATGTAAGATATTTTCTCAAGTCCATTCCCACTGTATTTCCAGGAAGTTGTCAGAACTTTGTGTTAAGTTGCAGTCCAAAAAGTTTAGAATTAGAATTCTTTTATTGGCCAAGTGTGATTGGACACACAAGGAATTTGTCTTGGTGCAAATGCTCTCAGTATTTTTGCTCAACCTTTACACAAGTTTAAAGTCAACTAAAGTCTGGGTCCTCATTTTACTGACCTCGGAAGGATGGAAGGCTGAGTCAACCTTGAGCCGGACAGGATCGAACTGCCGAGCTGCTAGCAATCAGCAATCAGCAGAAGTAGCCCGCAATACATCATTCTAACCACTGCACCACCAAGGCTCTATAGATCCTGTCATATCTTTATACCCAGTTCTTTCAGGTCTGTTCTTGCACTTTCCTTCATCCTCTGAAGGAGAAAACCGTGAGCAGAACAAGGCAGGAAGCTTTGAAGCGTTTTCTTGGCAACTTTTGTCTCCCTGAAGTTGTTGGAATAAATGGTCCCTTAATTGGCAATATTTTCTGAAAGGTTTGCAATTTGCCTCTTTCACCCACGATATCTCCTCAGGCACATTAGACAACCACCAGCAATATTGGTTGTTGCTATTATTATTATTATTATTATTATTATTATTATTATTATTATTATTATTATTATATCTTTAGTGAGATTCACAGCCTTTGAAGCTGGTTGGTAGCTGAAGAGCTCGAGTCCTAACCAAGGACCTAGGAACTGTTCAGGTAGCATCGGAGGATATAAGCTGTTCCAAGTAGGGTGGTGTTTTGTAGAATCTGGGTATTCAAGTCTGATAAATTCAGAATTTCCAAATAGCGAGGCAGCCCTTTAGGTATTGCTCCAAGGGTTCCAATTACAATTGGGATAACACATGATTTCTTTTTCCAAAATCACTCAACTTCAATTTGTAAGTCCCTATACTTTGTGATTTTTTTTTCTTGCTGCGCGTCTACAATTCATGCATCACCAGGTATTGCAATGTCAATGAACCAACCCTTTTCTTCTCAACTATTGTTATGTCAGGCGTGTTGTGGGCCAAATGCCTGTCCGTCTGAATTCTGAAGTCCCACAAGATCTTGGCTTTTTCATTCTCCAGAACCTTCTCAACCTGATGTTCCCAGTAGTTGTTACCATACTCAAATCCAAACTTTTGGCACAGTTTCCAGTGAATGATTTTAGCAACTTGGTTATGGCGTTCTAGGTAGTCAGTTTATGAAATTTTGCTGCACCCACTGATGATGATGGTGATGATGATGATTTGTTCCACTTGGCTTCTTTTACAACCCTGTTAAATGTATATATCTGGGTTTCTGAGCAGGACTTGAACGTTTTAAACACATTGTGCAACTCCTCACTTTTGCTTGTTTCTGTTCTTGTTGAACAAATTGTTTCATTTAATTCCCGTATTGCCGTCTGGGGAGTCTTAGCACCTGGTCTCCATTATGCCTCCACTTATCAGTAATTCAGTGGTTATTCCCACAATCTGAGCTTTAGCATACCCAAGAGAGCTTTGAACTTGACAACCAGTATTGGATTTTAATTTTTCGTTGAAAAGTCTTACTTCAACAACGCTTCCACTTTCTGCAGTTTGAAACATAAGTTTTTTATCTGCAGTTCTTCCACTCTTCCACGTGATTTGGTTCAGCACTCACTTTGTCAAACCTGCCTTGTGATGGCCAAAGACATTTTTTTTACTAGACTTTGTTTGAAGCAACCCTTGTTGTGCCATCATCTGTCTATCTCAAACCATGGTCCCAAAACAGGCACTTCCCAATGACATGTTGTTGTAACCAGTTTAGCCTCATAATTAGAACATAGAATAATGGGATTGGAAAAGATCTTGGAGGTCTTCTAATCGAACACCCTAGTCAAGTAGGAGATCCTTCAGCATTATGGACAAGTGGCTGTCCAATCTCTTCTTGAAAACCTCCACCGATGGAGCATCCAGAACATCTAGCGGCAAGCCATTACACCGATCGTTCTTACTGTCGTGAATTTTTTCCTTAGTTTTAGGTTGGATCTCTCTTTGATGATCAATCAATCAGAACAGAGCTGAAAGGGACTTTGGAGGTCTTCTAGTCCAACCCCTTGCTCAAGCAGGAGATCCTATACCATTTCAGACAAATGGCTGTCCACAATGTCTTCTTAAAAACCTCCAGTGATGAAGCACCCACCACTTCTGAAGGCAAGACGTCCCACCAGTTAATAGTCCTTGCCATTAGAAAATTTCTCCTCAATTCCAGGTTGCTTCTCTCCTTGATTAGTTTCCATCCATGGTTTCTTGTCTTGCCTTCTGGTGCTTTGGAGAATAAGTTGACTCCCCCCACCCCCCTCTTCATGGCAACCTCTCAAATAGGGGAATATCCCGTCCCTCCCCCCCCCCCCCCAGTCCTTCTTTTCTCTAGACTAGCCAAACCCAAATCCTGCAAGGCGAAGAACAGATCTTCACCTGTGACTTCTCATCCTGCCCTCAGGTGTTTTGGAGAATAAGTCAACCTCCTGTTCTATTTGACAGCCGGTCAGCTGGAAGACTGCTATCATGTCACTCCTAGTCCTTCTCTTCATTAAACCTGAGGCAGCCCCTCAAGAACTGGAGACTTGCTGATATCTTCCTTGAAGTGAAAATCAAACAGCCCTCGAGAAACAGACAGGCTGGGGCTCAGGTTGGAGTTGGGGAGGAAGAAATAGTAGGAAGAACAAAACCACACGTATGCAAAATCTATTGCTTTAAGAGGCTTGTTTCTGAAAAAAGCTGGGGTGGTCTGTTTTGACTGCCACCTACAAAACGTCCTGTATTAAAGATGAAAAGAGATGGGCTTAAACATGGAAAGAAAACCCTTGAGCATTTGTATGGAGTTGAGATTTTCTATCTGAATGACCTCCAAGTGGACAGCAACTGAAAGGAATATGGCGCATTGCGGTGTGCATCTCTTCCTGGTAGCAGAAGCTTTTTATCAGCTCTAAAATTGCCCCCAAAGCAGACTAATATCAGGCATCATGGCTGGAGGAAGAACATATAATCCTTTCCTCTGTCTATGAGCAATTTTTAAAAGTTTAAATCAGGGGTGGGGCTGCTGGGGGCTCGCAGGGGGTCGGGAGACCCCCTAGCTAAGATTCTGTGCAGTTTGGAGAACCCCCAAATCCCACTCTTAGTTGGCTCCGCCCACCCCTCCCCTCCCCTCCCTTCCAAGGAGTCCCTACGTGGCCCGTTTTGGATGCAGGTAAGTGTAGGGCATGCACGGAGCAGTGGTAATATTCAAAAAAATTACTACCGGTTCTGTGGGCGTGGCTTGCTGGGTGTGGCATGGCTTGCTGGGCATGGTGTGTTGGGTGTGGCAGGGGAAGGATATACTGCAAAATCCCCATTCCCTCTGCACCCCACTAACCTGCTTTCCAGCTCCGTTCTCCTCTACAGGGCAACAAAAGAAGACCCAGCCAATCAGCTGGGACTCAATGGGAAGCAGAGAAGAGATGGGGAGGGGCAGTCAGAGGTGGGGTTGGCTAGTTCTCTGAACTACTCAAAATTTCTGCTACCAGTTCCCCAGAACTGGTCCGAACCTGCTGAATACCACTTCTGGTATGGAGGCTCAGGGAGGGTGAAAAATGGACCTCCTGGAAGTTTGGGAAGGCAAGAAACAGGCCCATTTCTGGCTTCCAGAGAGCCTCCAGAGCCCAGGGAGGCCATTTTGTCCCTCCCAGAGGCTCGAGAAAAACCTTTGGAGCCCAAGGAGGGCAAAAATGCCTCCCGGCCATGGTGCAGGAGGCCAACTAGGCCACGCCCACCCAGCAATTTACATTTAATCTATAAATTGCTTATCTTAAATTCCTTCATGTTCCTTTTTTTCTTTTAAACTGTACTTTATTAAACTTTTATTACATTAAAAACATCAAAAAAAATCACTCAACAACAGCAATTAGTGGTGATTCTCTTATGTCAATAATCCATACATTATTTACAGATATTAAATTATGCATAATTACATTCTTATTATATCTATTACTTATGGTTAATAACTATCTGTCTTTAATCGATCTCTGTTCTATCCAGTTATACCATTGCTCCCACACCTTATAAAATATTGATGTCTCTTTATCTTTTAAGCTCAATGTTAATTTGTCCATTTCTTCACAGTTCATAATTTTTTGTATAACAGGTTTCTCATGATCATAATTCTTAAAGGAGTAGTAATATTATTGAAATACTGTAAGCTGATTACTTCTGACTAATAATCCATGCACTGTTAAAAGGAATAGTTTCTTACTTGCTTAAGTGCAAATCTCTATTTCTTTGTATAAGCAGTAGAAGGGAACACAACTAAAATTTCCTCTTGCATTTTAGGTGTCGAGCCAGAGTGCAGGCTAACCACAGGCAGGTTAGAGTTTGTGAAAGTAGACAACTGTGTGAATGAAAACCAGCTGAATCTCCACTACTGCGAGGTAAGATCTGCTGATCTGGAGCCTATGAAAGCAAACAACTTTTTTTAAAATTCTGCAAAGAGCTTGTGTCTAATTGCACGGAGCGGTAAATTATGCTTCAGATTAATACCCAAACTCTAGATAATCCTCAACATATGACCACAATTGAGCCCAAAATTGCTGTTGCTAAGCAAGACGATTGAGTTTTGCCACATTTTATGAACTTTCTTGCTGCATCTGTTCAGTGAATTGCTGCAGTTGTTAAGTTAGTAATGCGGTCATTAAGTGAACTGGGCTTCCTCATTGACAGAAGGTCGTAAAAGGGGATCATGTGATCCCGGGGACACTGCAACCGTCATAAGTACATTGCAGGTTGCCAAGCTTCTGGATTTTGATCACATGGCCATGGGGATGCGTCAACGGTTGTAAATGTGAAAAACTCTCACAGGTCACTTAGTACGGTGGTGTTGTTAACTTTGAACAATCACCAAATGAATGGTTGTAAGTCAAGGATGACCTGCACACACAGTAATGTGTTAATGTAAGACAATCACTGCCTCCTCCTCCTCCTCCTTTGTCTTCTTCCTCTCCTTTCGCTCCTTCTCCTTTTCCTTCTCCTCCTCCTCCTTCTTCTTCCCCTTCCTCCTCCTCTTCCTCTTCCTCGTCCTCCTCCTCCATTTTCTGCTCCCCCTCCTTCCCCTTCTCCTTCTCCTTTGTCCTCTTCCTCTCCTTCCTCTCCTTCTCCTTTTCCTTCTCCTTTTCCTCCTCCTTCTTCCCCTTCCTCCTCCTCTTCTTCCTCCTCCTCTTTCATTTTCTGCTCCTCCTCCTCCTTCCCCTTCTCCTTCTCCTTTGTCTTCTTCCTCTCCTCCTTTTCCTTCTCCTTCTTTTTCCCCTTCTTCCTCCTCCTCCTCCATTTCCTGCTCCTCCTCTTCTTCTTCTTTTCCCCCTTCTTCTCCCCTTCTCCTTCTCCTTCTTCTACTTCCTGCCATCTTCTTCCTTCCACCAGCTAGACACAGTCTGTAATTTTTACATCCTCCCAGCAGTTTTCATGGAGAAATCAGGACTTTTAAGTTCCAGCCCTTTGGCCTTTTTCTTTCAGGGCAAGTGTACCAGCAAAGCCATTTATAACATAACCCTGAACCGCCTTGAAGACATCTGCACCTGCTGCTCGGCTACCACAACCAACGCCATGCTCATCCCCTTGCGTTGCGCCAATGGCTCCCGGGTTCATCACCAAGTGTTTAATGCTCAAGAGTGTGAATGTCTCTCACGGAAATGCCAGCCGTAATTCGCCAATGGGGAGCGGACACATGTCAAGCTTTTTTCTCCAGATGCCAGAACATGTACAATCTGAGTGTATTATTTTTTTTTGGGGGGGGGGGGGGGGATATTAAGAGAATTTTGATAGTGGTCTAATCAAAGCCATGTAAGCAGCCAAGGAAGAAACTACATACTTGGGATGTTCTACTTTGGACTGTTTCACGGGTGCCGTATTTTGAAAAAGCCCAAAGAATTCACAGTATTTGGAGTAGTGCTGAGGACGGATATTCCCATCGTGGTGAACTGATAGAAAGTTTCAGCATATAGTTATATATATATTTTTTCATTTCAGTAGTTACTTTTATGATGAATGAATAAGTCTGGCTCACCTTTCGAATCAGAATTATTCGGCTTCTGTTACAAGCTTCAATAAAACAGTGGATTAAAACCCGAGTCTTTCAAAAGCCTTTTTTTCCCCCAAACAACCCAAAAGGCTTACAATGTAAAGCCATTGAATTTTTGTGTTGAATTCTCCCTATGGAGCTGGGAATCAGGGATGAACAAGGGGGTAGTTTGCAGCGGGAGCTGAGGCAAATGTCTGATTCATTCATTAAAGGAGGAGGAGGAGGAAAAGGAGGAGAAGGAAGAGGGAGAAGAGGAAGAAAGGAAGAGGAGAGGAAGAAGAGGAAGAGGAGAGGAAGAAGAAGAGGAGGAGGAGGAAGAGGAGGAGGAGGAGTAGAAGAAGTGGAGGAGGAAGAGGAGAAGGGGAAGAAGAAAGGAAGAGGAGAGGAAGGAGGCAGAGGAGAAGGAGGAAGAAGAAGAGGAGGAAGAAGAGGGGAAGGAGAAGGAAGAGAAGGAGGAAGTCGTAAAGTCACCAAGATTGGATACTCCTGACCAATAGGACAGAATCTGCTTGCCCTGTTCATCCTGATAGCAACCTCCACCTTCATGTTCCTCCTAGGTCAGGATACGGCCTAAATTGCATGCTCTTCAGTGGGTAGCCAAGGCAGTTCTTTCTCTCTGCATTTGACATCTAAAATCTTATTTCATTGGGCTGCTGGCATTGTCTAAACTTAAATTTATTTATTTTTAATTTATGACCGTCATGTCAATGCCAATTTAATTTCTAATTGTTTTTCATCTATGCTAGTTGTTTGTCCTAATGACTTGCTTATGAATAATGAATTGCCATGATTTATTTGGCGCGATCGGCCTAGAATTATTGGATGCTCGGACACTTGGCATCCATTTTTACTACATGAGCACATCTGTGAGTGGAAAACTTTGGGTTTACTCTCAGTGGGAGTTTCAATCCAAGTGGAAAAGGAGGGAAGCCAGGCTCTGCAGATGGGATTCATATGTAGGCAAATTTTCTAATCTTTTGGTCAGGACTTGTCCAAAATCATGTTGCTGCAAATCCATTTCAGTGTTTCCATCCAGTTGAGTCTGGACTGATTCTAGACCAAATATAATCGTACCTGGAGTGTAAAACTATGGACAGCCACTGGAAGGTAGCAAAGAGACCCCCAAACCCGAATACTCTGTTGCCATCTAGTGTTAATTGTTTGCCACTTGCTAAATCACTAAAAAGAAGGAAACATAATTTTTACATATTATGTACTCCTTATTAGTTAAAGAGAAGAAAAATTAAATATATAACACATTTCCTTTTCTTGAGTGACAGCTTTTTACTTTTTCATGAAAAAGAAGAAAGAAAAGAAAAAGAAAGAAAGGGAGGCAGAGAGGGAGGGAGGTAGAGGGAGGGGGTAATTGTAATTGTACGCTGAGGACTACCTGTAAAACAAAATAAAATAGAATAGGATAAGTAAAATAAAATAAAATAGGATAGGATGGATAAACAATAAAATAAAAAATAATACCGTTTCCCCCAAAATACGACCTACCCTGAAAGTAAGTCCTAGATTAATTTTTACACTTCTGCACAATATAAGTCCTACAATCAAAATAAGCCCTAATTAAGATCCCGCCCACTCCAGAGTGGACAGGTAAAAATTAAGCGAGGGTGGGGATGAGGGGGGTGAAGCTGCCCTACTACTTACCTTTGGACAGTTGTAGCCAGGCCTCGCACACCCCGATACCTGCCTTTCTGGCCCATTTCTTCTGCAGCTGGCAAGGCTTTCCTGAAGGCCTCTGCAGCTGATAAGAAAACTCTGGATCGATCCAGAGCTCTGTTATCGGCTTCAGGAAAATCTTGCCGGCCGCAGAAGGAGAAGCTCCTGAAGGCCTCTGACAGCGAAAAGGAGGCTGGGGCAATGCACGCAAGTGAGGTTAGTCAGTGGGTGACATCCCCCCAAAATAAGATCTAGTGCCTTTTTGGTGGCAAAAAAATATAAGACAGGGTCTTATTTTCAGGGAAACATGGTAATAAAATAAAATAAATAAAATAAAATAGTTGTGCAAAGTCTTCTTGGCCACAATTACCTTCTCCTTTTGAGCAAGAGTTATGAGTCCAAAAAGATTATCAGATTGCATATAACTCTTGAATGAGAAAATGCAACCCTTCTCCTTCCCCCGCTCCCACTTAATCCCTGGATCTAAAACCCACAGCGATACAATCTTGGTAGGATTAAGCCAGGATCAGTTTCTCTCCCATCTCCAAATCCATGTAGGCTGCACGTCCCATACAAAAAAAACCCAAAAATACCACAAGTCGTGTGCAACGCCATGAAAATAAAGGGGTGTACATTTTTTTTTTTTAAAGGGTATTGAATGTTTTCTGGAGTGCCAAAGGAGACTGAATCCCTGATTGTGAGATTGCAAAGGCAAGACTAGAATTCCTCCGGAGTGTTGCAGAGGTGTCTCCCGTGTGCCGGTTAACTTGGCGCTTTCGGGTTCAAGGCTCAACCAGAGCCCGATAGTTGCGCTTTGATTAGACTGTTGATTACAAGGTAATCCTGTGAATATTTCATGCTGAAGTAAGAGCATGCAAGCAGGAGGGGTAACATGAGAAAACCTAGGCGTTGTCTTATAAAAAGCCCGTCTCTCTCTTCTCTCCTGCTAAATAGCTGTGTGCGGTGTTGGTACTAAACGGTGGCTGATAAGAAGATGGGATTTGTCATCTAATCCTCGCTGGCAGAAACGGCTGCTCACTTTGGAGGAGTGTGTATTGAGTGGGGGGGAGAGAGAGCAGACTTCTTGTCCTGGATTTTTCTTTTCACCATCTCTTCCTCCTCCTCCTCCTCCTCCAGCAAGTAGCTTACGGTGGCCTCCAAACAGCAGCTGGTACCCCAGTTGGATATGCCTTGGGTCACCACAGGGCTATTGGGATGCTGTGTCGGATGGCCATAATTGAAACAGGAGTCCTGGCCAAAGACCTTTGGAGGTCCCTTCCTTCTCCAGGTGGAAACCCTGGCCTCTGGCTGGGGCTGCCCGCTGATGACCAGAAAGTGAGGGCACCCAGAGACCAAGTTCATGTGGGCAGCACAGCTGTGCCCTCTCAAGCTGGGAGCAATTTGTCACTTTCAGGTCCTTCGCTGAGCTATGGAAGCCGAAGACTCCGGTAAGATTATCCACGGCTTTGTTCCTAATTGCCGGTCAGTCTGTAATGATGGTGGGGGATTCGGCTTGTTTTTCTACCACGCTGGGTTTTCGCTCTTTTAGCTCTGTCAAAAGGTCTCCCCTCCTTTGCTTCTGAAGTTTCTTCTACATTGACAGGCACCTTAATTGGTTTGGGAATGCAAGCTAATCCGCCCAATTAGGTGGCTTAGTGGGTGGTGCCAATTAACCTTTCCCGATTGATTTCCTCAGATTGTTAACTCCAGCAACATGTTTATAAATTGACCTTCTTTACAGAGTCGGGATACTAAATGGCATTCCCACCCAACCCCCTGTGGGCTCCTCTATCTAGTTCTACAGAGTTTATACTACAGACCAGAGATGTTGAAACAACAGAAGTTTCAAAGCAAAAAATTAAAAAATGCAAAGAATGATAGGTGGGTCAAACTTTCTTTTTTTCACTCAGGTACTGTAAAAAACAACCACCATCACCTGTCAGTGGGCAGATGGTACAGAATAAGGCCTCCAGGCTTAATCCCAGCTGGAGTTGGCAGTCTTGGAAGCAGTTTTAAAATGGAGAAACACCCCCTTCCTACCGTTTCCATAGTGCTTGGTCTCTTTTGTATTTAATGCTGGTGATGTTAGTTTAGAAAGCGGAGGTGTTGATCTGGCACAAAAGAACTAGAATCTGTGGAGCTGCTGCAAGTCTGATGATCCAGCCCAGCTCACAATTAATCTAGGTTCCCAATGGGTTTAAATTATGTGCTGAAGTTATTATGGAAGTGTGTGTGTGTATATGGGCCATCTTTCCATAGCTGAAAGGGAATTATCATAATTGTTCAAAAGAAAAAGAAAATAGAAGAAACAGCCATCTGGAAAAGGGGGGGGGGAAGCCAACGATTAACCAGAAGAGCAAATTAAAAAAAAAATCAAACTAGCAAGAAGCAAAAACAGATGGAAACAATGCACTGCCTTCCCTGATATCATAAATCAGAATAGAGTTGGAAGGGACCTTGGAGGTCTTCTAGTCCAACCCCTTTGCTGAAGCAGCAGAGCCTATACCATTCCAGACACACACACCCTCTCTGTAGGCCCTAAATATACTGGGTTAGAACGAGTAAAGTCTAATGAATCTCTTTGTTGACCTTCCTCCATTCTAATTTTTGGCTGTTTACAGAATTGGGCAGGGGATTGGTCTCTAGAGCCAGGATGAGTAAGTATTGCTGAAGCAAATGGGAGCAAGCCCTTTGTCCAATTTCCAAATATTGCATAGTAATATTTGTTTTAAGTTTCTGGGTGTTACCCTAAAAGAGGACCTGACCTGGGGTACTCACATTGCAGCCCTGGTCAAAAGGGCCCAGCGGAGATTATACTACCTGAGACTTCTCAGGAAACAACAACTGAGTGGAAAACTGCTGGGGACCTTCTACCGCTGCACCATAGAGAGTATCTTAACTCACTGCACCTCTGTATGGTTTGCCAATTGCAAGGGGGAGATAGGACAGCACTCCAGAGGGTTAACGTCATTGCCCAGAAGATCATGGGTTGCCCTCTCCCCTCTTTGGAAGAGCTTTAGAGCTCCTGCTGCCTTAAGAAAGTTCAAAACATTCTCAAAGATCCATCTCATCCTGGATTTTTATTTGAACTATTACCATCTGGCAGATGGTACAGGATAATAAAAACAAGGACAAATAGGCTGAAAAACAGCTTCTATCCCAGGGCAGTAGCTCTTTTGAATTCTACCATATTGTGCAATATTAATGCAATATCAAGGATTTTCAATTCAATGTGTAGAATGTGAAGGATGCGTGTTTGTGTTTATTTTCATGGTCGTCATGTGCACTGAAGATGGTGTTTGATTTGTTGCACAAGGTGCAACGACAATAAAGTAAACTAAACTAAAAGAAAAAGCTAATGCTACATTCTGAGGGTTG